GTTTTAAACCCATGACAGGGCAAGTCATTATTTCCTTGAGCAAGAAACTTTACAAACATTGCTTAGCACTGATTGGTTCTTGGAACGAATTCCAAAGTGTTTCAATAAACTTAAAGTTTCCAACATAATCAACTAAAATAAATTTGTGTAAACTAACCACTGTTTTTCTGTGTTTTAGCTACAGAGATTCAGAACATTCAGATAGCAGACGGAGATGTTATGCGGGGTATTCACATTCCAATATTTATGATATTTCCTCGTCTTTTTACGTGTCCTACATTGACAACAAATAATTTTAAAGTTGGTAAGTTAAAATGTGATTTTGATGATTATTACCACTTTTAGATTTGTTCAGTGATATTTGTGATATATGTTTGATTCTGTTGAAATTTGTAACAGAATGTTGCTAATGGTATTAACCTTTGAATTTTTAATTGTCCATGAGAAGTAGAAGGGTTGCAGTATCAAAAATTTAAATTTTGAAGATAAAGGATATTAAATGAGTGTAGGTTTAATACTAAATTTATTGAACAAGTCAAATAAAATCATGTTATTAGAGTCTCTGGCGTGCATGATATTTTTTTATTCAACAAGTTCAATAAATTTAGTATTGAATCTACATGAATATAATATTCTATGAGCTCAATAAATTTAGTATTGAATCTACATGAATATAACATTTTATTTATCATATAATCAAAATCAAAACGTTTTTTTTTCTTATTAAAAAGGGCATTGGTGAGCCTGTAGTGTAACAGTGGGCTTTAACGCTATGTTTGTATATAATGCAAACGTCAAAGTGTTATTACACTAATGTAATATAGTTCTTATGCTCCCCGAAAAATTTCGTGGGAGCATATAGTCGGCGCCTTGTCCGTCTGTCCATCCGTCCGTCCGTTTTCTTGTCCGGAGCATAACTTGAAAACCCTTGGAGATAATTTGTTTAAACTTCATACAGTGGTAGAGGACATTGAGGGGGAGTGCAGTGTCAAAGAACCATAACTCTATTTTGCCTGGTTTTTGAATTATCTCCCCTTATAGAAAAATCTTGTCCGGGGCATAACTTTAAAACTATAAGAGATATCAACATGAAACTTTGTAGGTGAATAGATCCCAATGGGTAGATGTGCAGTGCATAAGAACAATAACTCTTTTTGTCCTAATTTTGGAGTTATTGCCTTTTGTTAATTACAACACTTTGAACTTTGTCCGGAACATAACTCTAAAACTATAAGAGATATCAAGATGAAACATTGTAGGTAGATAGATCTCATTGAGTAGAAGTGCAGTGCAAAAGAACCATAACTCTGTTAAGCCTCATTTTTGAATTATCTCCCCTTATAGAAAAATCTTGTCCGGGGCATAACTCTTAAACTATAAGAGATATCAACATGAAACTTTGTAGGTGAATAGATCTCAATGGGTAGATGTGCAGTGCATAAGAACAATAACTCTTTTTGTCCTAATTTTGGAGTTATTGCCCTTTGTTAATTTCAACACTTTGAACTTTGTCCGGAACATAACTCAAAACTATAAGAGATATCAAGATGAAACATTGTAGGTAGATAGATCTCATTGAGTAGAAGTGCAGTGCAAAAGAACCATAACTCTGTTAAGCCTCATTTTTGAATTATCTCCCCTTATAGAAAAATCTTGTTTGGGGCATAACTCTAAAACTATAAGAGATATCAACATGAAACTTTGTAGGTGAATAGATCTCAATGGGTAGATGTGCAGTGCATAAGAACAATAACTCTTTTTATCCTAATTTTGGAGTTATTGCCCTTTGTTAATTTCAACACTTTGAACTTTGTCCAGAACATAACTCTAAAACTATAAGAGATATCAAGATGAAACATTGTAGGTAGATAGATCTCATTGAGTAGAAGTGCAGTGCAAAAGAACCATAACTATGTTAAGCCTCATTTTTGAATTATCTCCCCTTATAGAAAAATCTTGTCCGGGGCATAACTCTAAAACTATAAGAGATATCAACATGAAACTTTGTAGGTGAATAGATCTCAATGGGTAGATGTGCAGTGCATAAGAACAATAACTCTTTTTTGTCCTAATTTTTGGAGTTATTGCCCTTTGTTAATTTCAACACTTTGAACTTTGTCCGGAACATAACTCTAAAACTATAAGAGATATCAAGATGAAACATTGTAGGTAGATACATCTCATTGAGTAGAAGTGCAGTGCAAAAGAACCATAACTCTGTTAAGCCTCATTTTTTAATTATCTCCCCTTTTAGAAAAATCTTGTACTGGACATAGCTGTAAAACTATAAGAGATATCAACATGAAACTTTGTAGGTAGATGTATCTCAATTGGTAGATGTGCAGTGCAAGAGAATCATAACTCTGCATGGCCTAATTCTTGAGTTATTGCCATTTGTTTATTTTTACTTTTTGAATTTGTCCGGAATAAACTCGGAAACCATAAGAGATGTCAACAAGAAACTTTGTAAGTTGATAGATAACAGTGATTAGAAGTGCAGTGGAAAGAACAGTAACTCTGCCTTTCCTAATTTTGGAATTATTGCATTTTGAACTTTTTCCAGGGACATAACTCTGAAACTACAAGAGGTGTACTTTCCTGTGTCCAAAACCTATTCGGGGAGCATCACCCGGCTCAAACCGGGCTCTTGTTATTAAATGGCTTTATAACACTCTTGTGTCATAGTTCACATAGTAAATTATGTTATAGAATGGTCTAGTCTGACCTTGTACAATATTGACGATGAATTGACAGCCTGTAATTTGCGGCTAGCATCCACACTATGATGTCAATCATTTGATTAATAATTATTGTATAAATTAATCTATGTGATTGAAGTGCAGATTTTAATACTTATTAAATTTTAAAAAAACAACACTTTTTACCAAGAATGAATTCTATTTGTAAAATGTCAGTTATTGCTTGTTATGAAATACTACTTGATTCATGCTTTTTTATTTTCAGAATTTGAAGTGAATGTTGTTATTATATTCCAAGATGATTATCTTGTCACAGAGAACTTTCCAATCAAGCTTACCAGGTTTTGAGAATATCTTCTGTGATGGTGATAGAGACAATGTTTTTCAAGCATTCACTGGAATTTTAGTGATGTGACATGTTAAAGAAAGGTTTTAATCAAGTATGCTGGATTTTGAGAACATGTTTACTTTTTTAATTAATTTAATGAAGCAACATGTTACATGCTTAGATGTGGTTTATCATAAGATGTTTGTAATTTGGCATGAATGGATATGTTTAAGGAATATTTTAAAATTACTTTCTTGAGTTAGTAATAAATCATGTAAAAGGAAAGGAATCAAATTTGTGAAAACAGTTTATCTGTCTTGTTTCTTTGCTTAAGAATTTTAAAGAAAAATTTACTTTTTCTGAATTTTAGGATTTGATCTAAAACATTTAATGTGACAACGTAAGTCAGTTGTTTCTCAACTTAGGATGATGAACTTGAATGTTAATTTCTCACTGATAAATGTCTGTGCACTTGTTTTGACTTTGTTTATTCAATCTGAATTCTTCAAAATAAACTCCAGATAGTAAAAGGAAGAAACGTTCTGCTCCTGCTAAATGTACTTACTACATTATTAAGAATGTAGGACTAGACAAAAAAGATTTTTTTACCCACAAACTAAAATTGACCTTTTCGAAAACCTAGCTAAACACCGTATTCCCGTACGTTACGGATTTAGCTCTGGGGAATAACACCAAATGAAATACATAACACAGTTATATAATATTTCTATTTTTCTATCATTATTTTACCGTTTAAGGTGAAAAAAATTGATGTTTTTGAAAATTATCAATATTCCTTTAATATCCTTGCAAATTTTTCAAAAAAATAAATTGTTTATGATGAAAATCAATACAATTTAAACAGACGTAGTGGAATCTTCCATGATAAATAAGGTTATTTTCTGCCTAAACTTGTGTATTTACTTTATTTTTTGTATGGAATTATTCATACGATGATATTTAATTATTTTCTTATAAAGAAATAACAGTTTTATTTCAATTTAATTTAAAAAAGGCCGAAAACATTGAGTTTGCTATTACACTCCATTAGGTGAATTCCCAGAGCTATGTACAGAAAATACCGGAAAACAGCGTTAAGCTAGGTTTTCGAATTCGTGAATTACATGTACTTTTAAGTACACTGTATTATGGACCACCACAAAGTTTTTGACATTATATTAGAAATTTTATATTTTAATGAAAAAAATTTATTGCTGGTATGTCTATGTTTAAAATTCATGTCACTTGAAATGTACAGTAAATATGCCTGTCATATTGTGCAATAAAATTTAAAGATTTTGTTGATGTACTAGATATATATTATATGTATTACTGTATTTTGTAAAAAAAAATTGATATATAAGATAATTGGACTTATTGTTGATATAGGCAATACTTTTCTGATTACCCAAAGAAAAACTTGTCAGTTTCTGTGTCCAAGTTTCTGAATTAAAGACAGCTCTGTGTGATTATAGTTTAAGTTCTAACTTTTATTAGACTAGTAGTTATATTTCGTTTAAATGGACTGCATTTCATGGAACATTTTTTTTTATGACAGATTCCTGTAGAATTATTTTGTATAGCAACCTTTGGCTAAATAAGCTAACATTTTGGAGATGCATGGATAAAAATTAGAATTACTGATAAGTTATTGAGGTAAATCAGTTCAGTGGACTACCAGCTGAGATATGACACAAAAAATGTTCTAAAATTGGCATAAAAAATTAAAAATAAGTCATACAAACATAAACTGTAAAATAAAACATGTGCCAAGAAAAGAATACATGTATATATTTGAATTTATTTATTCTTACGAAACTTTATTCCAATCGAAATGATATAAATTTTCACCATTTTGAGAATCATAGTTCATTTTAGGCTTACACAGGTAAGCATCAGGATTTTCATCACAAATACATTTATCATAACATTTACGAAACATGCTCGTGCAATTGTCTACACAAACTTGTACAAAGTCTGAATACATCTTGAAATTTTCATATGACCTATCAGAGTGCTTGACAGACCGTAATGATGTGTTGGCTCCATTTAACGATGATCCGAAATAACCAAAAGTTAATATGTGAAGGAACCGCAACCAAAATGACGGCCATTTCTCTGAGAAATTATCACTTGTGTCTTGTTCCTCAATTGCTATGTTATCTACGCCTTGCATGTAAAAATCACAATTTATAAAACAGCAGGTGTAGTAATCATCCCCACAGTTGCCATGGCAATCGATGATCTTAGCTGAAAAAGTGCTGGGGTCAAAAGGTGATTTCATGTAGGTTACTGGTATACTTATTTCTGCCAAACTTAGAGTCCAAATACCACACAGAGCACTCTGTAAATAAAACAAGAAATTAACAAACATACATGTATCTTTAATGATTTCTTACCCATGGAAAATATGCAATGCATTATTATGCATTATTATGCAAAAATTTCGCCATGTTGTCTGTCTGTCTGTATGTAAGTCCCGAATTTGTGTCTGGCCCATAACTTCGTTATTTGAAGTCGGATTATACAACTATTTCACAGAAATGATCCCCATATTGAGACGATGTGTCGCGCGCAACATTTTGGTCGCTACCTTGAAGGTCAAGGTCACAGCATGACCTTGCAGCAAAATCGTGTCCGGCCCATAACTGCGTTATTTGAAGTCGTATTTTACAACTATTTCACAGAAATGATCACCATATTGAGACAATGTGTCGCGCGCAAGTCGGTAGATAGATCTCATTGAGTTAAAGTGCAAAGAATAGTAACTCTGCCTTGCTTAAGTTTGGAATTATCACATTTTGAATTTTGTCTGGGACATAACTCTGAAACTACAAAAGATATACTTTACTGTGTCCAAAATCTAGTTGGGGAGCATCACCCGGTTCAACCGGCTCTTGTTTTACATTTATTATCGGTAAGTCCTTTCACAGCTAATGCTGTGGTAATTTTATCTAATAAGTAAGCCATTTTCAATGAGTTTATAAGCTGACCCACAGATGTTAATTAATAATTAAGGTCTGTGGCTGACCACAAAATTTTTTGTTTTTTTTGTTTCAATATTCTTAAACATACCTTGAGTTATATTGTTTTTTAACCCTTACTACAGTACTAGTGGATAATAAACTTAAATTATTCCACTTGACATCCCCAAAGTTGATAATAGACAGTTCTCAAAATGTCAGCTGGACAAATCCATTAAAGAATTTAGCTGAGGTAAAGAGTTGATATTTTTACCATAAAGGCACTGCTATATGGTAAGCCAAGTTAAACATACTAGTGTTATCAGAAAATTTATGACCCCCTTTATGATCCTAGATTTTCAACTTAAGTTTAAGTTTATTTTTCCCAGCCTAATGGTAAAACATTTGACTTGGTTTGTGGATGGACAGCACAGCATTTACCAAAGACCATTGTAAGATAAAGTAATAGCAACTTCCCTGGTTGGTACTTGGTACCAAGCACATCAATAGACCAAAAACAGGTCAAACTCATGTCAGTTCAATGTATAGAATGTCAATGTGTCTATAGTATGAAATCTTGTTGAACCGGCACTTCATAAAGAAAGACTGCTGTCTTGAAAATTGTTGTAAAAAGTGCTTAAACAGCAAAATTAATGTCATTTCTTAGAATGTCTAAATCTGTTTTGTCCATTGTTTTTAGTAATTTAATAAAAGTTAATGCATTGAGAAAATTCATATACACCATACACAGTTTGTTAACAGAATCAGTGATTTTACAATATGTATAGTTCATTGCAAGTACAAACACCTTTTACTTCAATGATTGTATCATTCATTACAAGCATATTTAATTCAACTTGTATGATTTATTGCAAGCACAGGAAGAAGATGTATTTATCCCATGTGTTGTTATATAATGCCTTATTGAAATTAATTCAATAATATACTTACACATATTAAGAATATATTCCACTTAAACATTGTTTCGCAAGGTAAAGGTATAAAACTCCTACATGTACATTATCTTTGTAGTAGAATTTATAGCACTATAAAGTAATGACCTTGGTCTGATGATAAAAAATATTTTGAGAAAATTAACAGCTGTACTAACTGTGAAATGTAGTCCAAATTTGTTACCATCATGTGATAAGAAACATAGAAATTTATGATGTTATGTTTAAATAATGGTTTGTTCTTTTTTTTTTAATTTAAACAATTGTGGTCAATTAATTAAAGAACGATCTGCAGGCATTGTGTGGATTGATAAACTAGTGTGAGGGGAAAAAACTAGTTTCTCTGTCCACCACAGGTCTACTCAGATAATATAAACTTAATCATTAAATTTAGCAATTAAAAAAAGATAACAAGATTTTTGAGTTGGGAAGCAAACCTTTTAGGGAAATTAATATGTTTTTGATAAGCTTGACTGAAACAATAAAGGGAATATCTCACAATCATTGGACTCCTCAAACAAAAATGTATGTTTCATGTGTATTAATTGTTTAGTTGTGTTTATAATCATCAGATGTTAGTCACATCTTCATTTTACTTGTTTTATAAATGCTTCCTTTAAAATTGGAAAAATAAACAACTTGATATCCTTTCCAGTTTTGAACTATTCACAGATATTCATAAAATTTTTAGGAGGGGGGATCAGGATATCCATGCAAATTTTGAACTATTATCACCAGATATTCTTCAAATTTGGAGAAAAAAATAGGATATCCTTTCCAGTCTTAAACTATCCACAGATATCCTTCAAATTCAGAAAAGTTCTGGATATCATTTTCAGTTTGGAACTATTCCCAGATTCCCAGATGTCCTTTAGATTTTGAAGAAGAAAATCTGGAGTTTCCTTTACAGTCTGGAACTTTCCCTTGATCCTAATATTACTTAAAATGCTAAAACTGAACACCTCACATCATACAGCTTGTTCAGGTGGGCATGATTGTTAGCTATTGACTGTCTATCTAACCTCATAGAGAACAATTGCAGGTAGGCTTGAATAATAACATAGACATATAAAACTCTGATTTTAATATAACACCCTTCATAATTACATGGTTTATTTGGAATAGCATAAGAAACATACAGAATTTCTTCTATCATTTTTGTTAACTATTTATCACTTGGCAATTAAAAGAAATAGAGGATATTTGTTTAGTTCAGTGTAAGATCGGAATATATTTCACCGAGTGAGCACCAAAAGGTATATTTCACGAGTGGCGCAGCCACGAGTGAAATATGAACTTTTGGTGTTCACAAGGTGAAATATATTTCGATCTTACACTAAACTAAACAAATTTTCTTTTTATTACATGCAAAGAAACGTTTTAAAAAGACATTAAGCCTAATACTGAATGAAAAGCACGCCAAATAATAATACAACGTGACGTCATTTACGACGTCACGTCATTAAGTTGGTACCCAGTACTGTGCACGCTGGTATTTCACTGAAACAACGTAAAGGGCTTAAATTCAAAACAGTGAAATTATCAAAGTGGTAATTTCACTGTTTCAAACAGTGAAATTACCAGTTTTATATCACTGATATATTTCTATAAACCACCGAAAAGCATGTAATAAAACCTTTTGTTTTTACATTACAAACATGTATAGTTGGCCAAGTTTAAAAATAAGTTATTGAAACTATAAATTAATATTTTTTACAATATCCTATAAAATTGCTCATAACAAATTTATGAATATAAGGATTTAAAATTATGAGAAATCATCATATCAATTTGCTTAACTTTCATTTGTAAAGGGAGACAAATGCTTCTGTACTAATTCATATTGAATTTAACAGTGGTCTACTTAAGAAATAATATATCCCAAACAGTGATTTTATCGCTCAATAACATCACTGTTTGGAGTTCGGATGCGAGGAATTATATCACGAGGGCGTAGCCCGAGTGATATAATGATGCGCATCCGAACGACAAACAGTGATGTTATCAAGCGATAAAATCACTGTTTTGGATATATTATTTCGATTCTAACACGACATCAACAAATAAATGTTGCCGTACTTGATAGTTAAGCAAAATTGCGCCTGATTTGTTTCCGTACTTATTTTCAGCGCGTCGGATTTTTAGTGGCAACGTCACATGTATAATGATTACGTCACATGTCTAAATATAGAACGTCAAACTGTGCATCTGTTGCATAATAACACACACTTTCTGTTCTTCTATGCTCAAAAGGGAAAAATGCGGGTCGTGTTAGAATTCTATATATATTGTCATCACCAGTATACTATATAATTATGTAAATTATGATGATAATTAGGTATAAAACTATATAATGATGAGCTTAAAGACCATATTGGAAGGAATCAAATAAATAAGAAAGATAAATCTTAAAAATTGAGATGTGACTCAGCATTTAATTTTGATTTTGTTTGAGAAATGCTTGGCCAATTATGACTACAGTATTAAACAGTGTTTAACAAAAGAAAATGTTCTTCAGCAGAAATGCAATTATCAGCAAGCTTGTACTTTCTATTATTTTTATTTTTCATAATTTTCAAAGAATTTCTGTAATAAATGTAATTTGGCAAGCAAAATATGTTAGGTGTTCTGATAGCAAATAATGTTGCAAAGTAGACAGATGATCGTTATGTTCTGACTCAAAATACAACAACAAAACAATGAGAATGACTATCACAAGGTGCTTGCTTAACTTTAGGAGAAACTGTATAAGTGTCTCTTTAAGTCATGCATAACATGCTCCCATATCTCCCCCTGCCCCCCCCCCCCCACTCCACGATACCCCAGCCAAAAATAAAAAGAAGTCATATCAACATAATCATTTACTCTTAAACAAGATCTTGATTTAATAATCTCGAAGAAGAAGTTGTTCAAAGTAATATAATGATCAGCATGTTTTTTGCGACGGACGCGCCCTCAGGCGCGTTCAGAGCTAAGTCATCTACACATGGGATTTCGTTGGCTACACTCGCGCAATGTGTCCTAAACCAATTAACAGCCCAAGAAATAGTACATGAATTTGATCCTTCAAAACTCCCATACTTTGTCTGGATATCTTAATGTCTTCCATATTTAGCCTTTTCAATTTCAAATTAAGTTATCCAAGTTAAAATATGAACGTATATTATTGATAAAAACGTTGTAGTCCCGTAGTATTATTGCGCAATATGCAAATTACTGCTGAAACGATTTACCGCTGTCGAAAAAGTAGGACAGCAAATTATACTTCAATAAAGGTGTAACCTTTGAGTTCCAAGACATTATTAGTAGGAAATAAATATTTCTACATTATACAAAACATTATTATTAACAAATCAAAATTTTTTCGTGACTCTAGGATAACAAACTCGCGCATTAATAAAAGAAGAACTATTTTCGTGACTCATACCGCGGGTTTAGCTGAATATTCAGCAGTTATTAATATATTAGATACAGTACAATGGCTAGTATAAATATCTATTTTTGAAAATGCATGTAAGACACTTTACCGCCATGTAGTCTTTCATGGTAAGGAAGTTATAATATCAGTTCTACTTCCGATTCTTGTGGTTTGTTTACATATTTTACTAGGTCATGATATGAGTTAACCTTCGCTATTCTAAAAATAGATTCTGCTTCACCTGTTCGATTTTTGGACAGGCGATTAGGAAGTACACATTAAACATGTAATTAATAAACCAGCGGATTGTAATGCAATACTTTTAGAAATGCTATACAATTGTAAGAAGCAAACAAGTTGAAAATGGAATTTAGTGTGAAGTTGAAAAGGACAACTAAACACTGTAGTGCTTAAGTGACATTTAAATTAAAATAAAAACGATGTGCTCTGGCCTCTACATCTTTACCTTGTAAATAAAAAAAATCTAAGAAATACACTATTAATTGCTGATGATTTTAACCAATTTTTTTTTAATGAGACATATCCAAGAGAAATAAAAATACAAATGACTTATATTTTATTGTCTGTATGCCCACTATGATATAACACGAAGCAATTCTAAATAGCATTCTCAAATGTATAATGTATTATGTTTGAAGTTTATTTGCCTGGATTTATTCTAGAAATATTTCGTTGATAGTTTTTTTTCTATTTACATATCATTTCTTAGAATAAATCGATAAGGACACTGATTTACAAGTTTGACCAGGGTTTTTAGGCATAAATTTCATTCTGTATTTAAGTGCTTGAAAGTAGAAAATCTGAATTATATCAATTTGGGACACTAAATATATTGCTCTACAAATCTCGAACTTGTATGGAACAAATATTTTGTGTTTTGTTTTTGTTTTTTTTTTCTTAAAGAAGCCTTAATTAATGTCTCTCCGGTTGCATGTCCGTCGCATTCAGTGCTGCAGCACTTTGATTTTGGTCTGCAATCATCTTTCAGGTTGCAATATATTTAGGTATGTTATATAATAAATTAAGGGATGCTAATGTTAAGAGAACTCTTGGGTCAACCCTTTTGCCAAATATGTTATACCATTATATTTGTAACTGTCTACATATATGTAAAATAATGTTTAAATCAAATCAAATTAATGCATGCATTTATTGCAATTACGTCTTCAAAGAAGAAATAAATGTTAACCAAAATCATCTAAAATTTCTCGGTGTAAATGCCCATAGAGATAATACTCCGAAAATAAACTACATTTTGAAATTGTGCGGCTATCAACATAAAATCAATGTTTCATGCTGATTTTATGGCCAGTTCTCCTTTAACTTGGTCTGATCATAAATATCATCATTTTTAGCTCGACTATTCGATAAGAATAAGTAGAGCTATTGTAGTCACCCGAGCGTCGGCGTCGGCGTAACCACTTATGTTAAAGTTTTTGTTATAGTTCAAATATTTTCAAAGTCCATTGACATATGGCTTTGAAACTTTGCACACTTGTTCACCATCATGACCTCAACCTGTAGACAGGAGGAGGTAACTCTATCAAGCATTTTGACAGAATTATGCCCCTTTTTCAACTTAGAATTTACGTTAAAGTTTTTGTAATAGTTCAAATATTTTCAAAGTCCATTGACATATGGCTTTGAAACTTTGCACACTTGTTCACCATCATGACCCCAACCTGTAGACAGGAGGAGGTAACTCTATCAAGCATTTTGACAGAATTATGCCCCTTTTTCGACTTAGAATTTATGTTAAAGTTTTTGTAATAGTTCAAATATTTTCAAAGTCCATTGACATATGGCTTTGAAACTTTGCATACTTGTTCACCATCATGACCCCAACCTGTAAACAGGAGGAGGTAACTGTATCAACCATTTTTTTTTTACTATCAAGCACTTAGAATAGTCAAGCGTTGCTGTCCTACCGACAGCTCTTGTTTACATGGTAAACCCTTTTATTGTTAAACATAAAGATTTTATACAATGTTAGATTATCAAG